TCCTGGTGATCGCTGTCCTCATGGCCCGGCGGCACCGCATTCGGATGACCGCCTACGAGCGCATGAGAGTCCTTGACATCGCCAGAAGCACGCGGTGGTACCGGTAGCAGTAGGTCCGGTCCGGCCTTCTGCATGCGCTGGTACACGCGGTAAACACTGTTGACGGCGGCGCCGCCGGTGCGAAAGTCCGGCAGGAAGAAGAACGCGCCGAAGCACACGACACCGAACGTCAGGAACACCAGCAGGATCAGGTACTTCTCGCGCGGACGGAAGGACCGTCTCGAGAACAACGGCACCGGCACGCCGTTCGCGAAGCGCTGGTACGACGGCAACACGGCGGTCGACGTGGTCATCTTACCGCGACCGTCCGACACACGTACGACACGTCGCGCGGCACTTGTTCACCAAACCGACGTTCCGAATCCGCGAGAACTCTCGAGCACCCGTGCGCGTTTCGCCCCGTGGCCCCTCAGCCGTCATACGCCATTACGAATGCGAGCACCACCTGCGTGCGACGGTTGACATCTCTCGCGACCGCCACCGCAGCGCCGATCAGCTGACGTGGCGCGCGCGGGAAACGGCGAACGCGCGACTCCGCTTCCGCTCTCACTGAATGATCGAGCTCGCGCGGTCGCGCTCGCCCGATCGGTCCCGCCAGCGACATCTGCCGGCACATGCGCGCGCGCGCGCGCGCCTGAGTGCGCCTAGTCGGCTAGTGAGAGCGCGCGCGTGAGACGAGCTGCGGGATAACTGCGGGATAAATGCATTCCGTTGGTAAAGACCATCGCACGTGAAAGCACTAAGCTCGACTAAAAACGACCCATGGGCTCTCCTTTCCTCTCCTTCTCTCTGATATTCCTAAGAGAGCGCTAATGCACAACGAGATTTCTCTGGTACGCTAAATCCCGTAAGACCAACGGTCTTTATAGTGGCCGTTTTTCAACTATGACACACTAAATTACACTGTGCTACACCGTGTAAAGTATTTGTTGTTGGAACGCAGTTTAGTTTCTTTGTGTAACACTAGAGTGCATTACGGTTTGTCATTCTTATTTTTATGAGTATCTTACGGATCTATATAATAAGCATATAATTTTAAAACAATTAAAGGAATAAGTATTTTTCAAAAAATCCATTACATCCTTGCATTGTTTACATATAAATGGTTCTGAAAGGAAGTAGAAAGAAGATGATATATGAAGAAATTTATTTTAACAAGATATGTAAATAAAAAATGTCTTAATTATTTTTTTTTATATTTATCTTCAATTTCTCAGCAAACACATATGTTATATAACAGTTATATTGTTGAATAGGAAATCACAACTAACATGCACGTTACATGTAATATTGTGTTTGCTGGGTTTCGTTACAGGTTCCATTATGTTTCTTCGTATAAATCAGTATAATACAAAAATATATATAACAATATTTATATTATAGGTTACGTTCACACTAATTAACACGTTCGCGACATCGTGACCTACTAGTGGATCACACTGGTTTATATTAGTAGACGTGCGTGTCCATCGGTAGGTCACACACTATGAAGCATTGCATTGAATAAGATGAAAGCAAAGCCTTTTGTTGTAAAACAAACGCAAAGAAGCAATATATTAAAAAATAAATTGTGCGTCCTTTAGAGTGAACCAATGGATTTATTGATTGTCGCGAACGTGTTAACTATATTTATTATTGTAAATTATATTCGTACTAAAGGAATAAAAACAGGTACCATCTGTTACATAAAATATTTCGAAATATTGATAATTGATATGATTTACACACTGCAAATCAGACTTTTGCTGTGTAGAGAGCAGTGTAATACTGTGTCATTGTTGGAACATTCTGTGTTGGACCAGTGTTACACTATGTCCTCTGTGACCTTTGCTGGAAAACGGCCAGTATCTCGTCGGTACCGTAACTGTAAGGTATTGTAAATAAACTGACCAGTCACAGTAGATGATTCCTCTAGCGCAAGGAGAATAGTCGACTGTGATTGGTCAGTTTTCTTATGATCTTACGGTTAAAATTGTTCTACGTGCAGTGGAAACTTAACGAACCGAGGACGTTCTTCATTTCTTACATTTGACCTTCCTGATCATTTTTATAACGTTTCCACTTGTTATCATCTTATTGTCACTATGTCATTATTGCTTTGTGATGGGAAATTTGGTCTTCTTATTTGTTCTATATAATCATATTACAATTACATAATAATCATAATTAAATTTAACTATATGTTATACAGGAATTTCTGTTGAGAAAGTTGTATTTAAGTTTAACGTCTGAGGAAATGTTAATTTTCCCCGAAGGTCCTTCAAGATTTCATTTCAGTTCAGTTTTCAATTTATCTTCTCATATGAAAGATATTCGTTACTACTCTGGCAATTTTTCTACAGCTAAGGACAGTGCAACGTGTTTAAGTTGGAGCAAATTATGAAAAAAAATGAACGCTTGAGTTTATTAGTAGTTAAATCCAATGAGTTTAACAGCTTAACGGTCGCCACAATCTTTATGATATTCTTATCTTTAATAGCAATAAAGCGATAGACGACTTATGTACGGTATAATTTATTAACAACATTGAACATACAATTATGACACAGTCTCGACACAGTAGATTAACTTATGTAACTTATGTAACAGTCGATATATTCAGTTTCCTTATTTATTCACATTCCGTTCAAAGATTTTTTGTCGCATACGAGACGTGTTTACACATTTTTTTTACGGAATAGATGAAGTTGAAGGCGTTACATCATTATCTAGTTTGCAATATTGCATATGTGAAAACTTCATTGCGCAATGTTACCGTAAGATTATCTCCCAAGGCGATAAGTCCGCGTATAAATACGTCAGAAACTGTAATTTCAGTATACGTAACTACAACGTCAAATACTTCCAACTATGGACATGTGGGAAAGAAAGATAATAAGGCAACGAATTAGTAATAAATTAAATTAATATCGTCAATTGTCTGCGAATAATTGCAGATTATTATTTTGACATTACAACTTTTATTCGAATTCCTTAATACGCAAACTTATATAAACAGCACAAATGTTATGACATTAGCTCTCAATGGAGCGAGGTCATGACCAATTTAGACATTAACAATTTAATGGGCATAATTAATAGAAACCAAGCACTGATCTTAGTATAATAATTTTATTTAATAAAAAAAGTAGATTGTTGGTAAACATCAGGTATGTGTACGACAATATAATCTAAATAAGAGCTGAAATATTCCAGTTCGACCTTGAACTCCTTTCAGCAAATAATATTCGGTCTAGTAATTAATATTTTCCGATAAAATATACATAGCTCAGAGCACAATTTGTAATCGACATATTCTCCTATTCTTTTGCGCTTTTAAAGTGCTGAAATTTAACTTTTCGAAATGACGTATAGTTTGGCGTTTTATACACATAATTTCAAATAATCAGTAGTGTTCACGATGTGGCTATCAACAAAGAGCATATTCGATACGCGATGCATTTCGCATTTCATTGAAATAAAACGCTTTTGAAACAGCCAAGTGAAGATGATGAAAATGCTGTGACCGATCGCACGTGCCAAAACTGATTTAAACATTTTCGAAATGATGATTTTGATGTTCACGACCAACCATGCCCCAGTCAGTTAAAAAAATTTGAAGACGAGGAATTGAATGAGGAGAAAATTTACTGAATGAAAATACGGCATAAACACAACAAGAACTTGCAGAAAAGCTGGGAGTAAGACAGAAAGCTATTTGCGAACGTTTACATCATATGGGAAAAATACAAAAAGAAGGGAAGTGAGTTCCACGCGAGCTAACCACTGACAATAAAAATCGCCGATTGACCACATGCATTATCTTTCTTGCCAAATAACAAAAAAGACAGATTTTTGCACAAAATTGTAAAAAATCATCTGTAGACGCTGGTCAACCGACAACGTCGACAGCAAAACCCAAATATTTCGGAAAAGGTTCTTCTCTGTATATGGTGGAACCCGAAGAGTGTGCTGTATCATGAGTTCTTGGAAAACTATTAAAGTAGAGATTTGCAAGAGCAATTGATACGTTTGAGTGATGCAATTGAGGAAAATAGGCCATTTATTGGAAAAGGCAGCCGTGAAGTTATCCTGCTGCATGACAATGCTAAATCGCATATAGCAGAAACCACTAAGGAAACCTTTTTATATTTAGGCTGGGAAGTTCTCCCACATGGCGTATTCTCCAGACTTGGCTCCATCAGATTTTCATTTGTTTCAATTGATGCAACACGCATTATTTGATACATATTTTTCGACAGTTCACGTATGAAATTTCATCGATGACTTTATAGCCTCAAAGCCATCAAGTTTCTATCGTAATAGGATTCGGCAACCGCCCAATAAATGGCATAAGGACATCGATAAGAGAATATTTTATTGATTAATCTTGTTCTATTGACTTTTAAATAAAATCGCAAGTAATTGAAAATTGTCGAAAATCGAAAATAATTAACTACCAGACTTTATAGTTTAACTAATAACAAGATCAAAACATTTAAGGCAAAGTGTAACAAACTACTATAAAACATTCCTCCATGTATTATTTATTTAAATTCCATATATTTATTTAAATTCCATAGCAATCAAAATCTCTAGAAAAATGGCCAATACATTAGATTAATATGCTTAGATAAAACGCTTTCCTCTCCCTATTGATATACATGACGTCATGCGTTTGTCTCCGTTTAAAAAACAGACATGTTAACACATTATTTTAAAACGCTTTTGATTAAAAAAAAATGAATTACTCATCTTTTGGCAAAAATTTTAGAAAGAATATACACAACCACTATTTTTCCTTGTTTCCGTCAATGTTATATCTATCATCGCAAGTAATTGGCATGACTCATCTCTTACTGCACTTTCTTAATTATGCCATTTTTTACATTATACGGTACAAATTTCCCGAGATAAAACCTATATGAGAGGCTCACTGCTTTGCATTCTACCATCTGAGAACGAACGCGGAAAACAAGAACATTTCTCTGTTCGAGTTGGTCGTAATCGTATATAGCCGATCAGCTCGCTCGAATTTGTTGAACTAAAAGTGACTCCAATTTGCCGCAAAAATAAAGTGTTCAACTTTTCCAAAGTGTTCTAATAAATTGTTAAGTGTAAACATGTCTTTCTTGCAGTTATTGTGAGTCATATCTTTTGCTTTCCACTTGTTATTTCATGTTTCTGACATTGTTAGAATAAAAATTTAGAAATCTGGTGAAAATTGCGCAATGGAAAAGAAAGTGATTGTTCCCTATGGAAGTGACATATTTATATTTTATAAAATATGTTCAACATTTGTTACCGCGTACAAAAGACTGTGACAAGGAAATTTCCTTGATTTCTCTTACTCTCTCCTTAATTTTGCATTTCATACAATTTCGAATAAGCACAATTACAATTTTATTGAAAATAAATCGTACAAACTCGCGCGACACGTATTCTTGCATCGTTTCTACGCCGTTGATACGATTTACAGATAATTCTCTCTGTTTTTACAGCTTATATATTGCAATCGTAAGAGTAGGTGCGTTTCCTGATCGTCGACCGATTAATTACACCGTATGCGAGACCGATGCGTGTCGCACAGTAGGTATGTTGTAAACGCAACATGTTACATGTAACGATGTGACGTCAATTTTTCCTCTTAGCTATCTTATGTAAGCTCGAATAAAGTGGAATTAGGAAAATTTCGTGTTACGCTTGACAAAAAGCGAAAGTACGTAAACATCGAAAAGCACGTTGCAAAATGTCACGAGAAATATATAATAACGGATACAAATAGTGTTTGAATTTTGTATTAATTATTAATAATCAATGATAATTTAATAAAAATTTAAATTATATTGTACCAAGAGGGATGGTAATATTACTTCTCGCATATAGGACAGATGATTCAACGTGGTATCAACTATTCTTCTGATCCTTGTGATAATTTCTACAATTATGGATGCGGTTCATGGGCGGCGAACAATCCTATCCCCCCCAGTGCATTATATTGGAATACAGATGAGGTGTATGTTATGAAGATAAATCAACGACTCAAAGGTACGCGGTGCGTATAGGACCGTGTTAATTAAAACTAAATGTATCGTCCGCGCGAAAATATTTAAGAACAATTGTTTTGAACCAGATTTTCTCTTCGAACTGTCAATATCACGAAATGTCTAAAAATAAGCATCGTCCTTATATCTTACTGTTTGTCTTTCATATTTTATTTATTTTGTAGAGATACTTGAAGAACGAAGCAAATATGACGAATTACCGCCTGTACAAAAACTCAAGCAATATTATCGCTCATGCATGGACAAAGGTATGAACTTTGCATTCCTTGATATCATTTTTAATATCAAATGTGTAATTGATCCTATGATGATGTGATTGAATTAATTTTACATAAATTCCGAAAGTACGTGTTTACAAATAATTTTATATCTATGATACTACAGATGCGATCGAGAAGGAAGGACTCGAACCTATGATGACAATGTTAGATGCGACCGGTGGGTGGCCAATTATAATGGAGAATGAAGGCACAAACTTGGAGAATCTTACTTGGCAAGATATCGATAATGCTTATACTCAGAATTATGGCATTAGCAGTTTTTTCGGGATTAATTATGAACCTGATGATGAAGATTCAAACCGCAATATACTTACGGTATCTTTTTATTTATCTAATCATATGCGCACGTATATTACAGATATATGGTTCACATCTATTTTTAACAAGCGTTTTAGTGCTAATTGAATAGAACATATATTTTTACCTTATTTTGTTATGATAAATACTTTTCAAATTATATCGGACACGTTCATGTTAGACAGACTAGATCTATACGTGCCGAAGTTAATGAATGCTTAATATTAACATAACTGATGTAAACAATTAAAATATATATGATTATAGATAAATATAGATGGGACATCTTCTATTAAAAAGAAACTTTATTCAGAAGAAATATCGTTACCGGATCCGGAACTAACTGAAATGGAGGAAATAATAAAAGCTTTTGCCAAATACAAAGGAACCAAGATAAATGAAGAAAAAATAGACAAGGAAATAGAAGATTTATTCCTTTTTGGAGATAAATTGGACCAAGTAATTATTATTAAATAATTTTATTGTAATTATTTTATATTAATACTACACTTTGCATATTAATACTATGCATAACCATAACTGACAAAATAAATAAATCTGAATAAACTCACGGCTTAACTTTCACAGATCTTTAGTATGTCATATCAAGAAACTTATAAAGAAATGAAGCAAAATTACACCAAAATGAAGATTTCAGAATTACAAGAATATTACGATCTTGCAAAAACTGAAAACACAACTTCTAAAGTAAAGGAATTCTTCAAGTATAGTAACACCCTTTACGAATAAATAAGTATTCGTTTAACATATATAAATAAAACATATGCATCTCTACAAAAATATAGTAATATAATATATATATATATATTATGTTAAAATACACACATAATTCAATATCATATAATATTACCGTAATAATAATATACTGATAATGCAAGAGAATAATTATATTGTACGCGATTTTATAATTTCATTACGCTTACAAATACGTTTCATTACGATTCAACAAAATTCTTTTCAGATAAATTGGCTGCAAACGATACAATCTATTTACAACAATGTTAACGTGAGTATTAACGCTTCCAGACCTGTGAATGTATACAATAAAAAGCTTCTGCACAAATTGGCATATTTGTTGGATGAAACATCGCCTCGTATACTTGGTAATATGGGTGTATAAGAAAAAAGATTTGTTGAAATGACATTTTAATGCTCGATTTTTCTTCACAGTGAATTTCGTACAATGGAATATTGTATATCAATTTGTGTCGTTTCTGACCAAAAGTATGAGAGACATTGATTTCAAATTAACCTATGGAACATACAATATAACCGAACAAGGACCGCGGTAAGACATCAATATTTAATGAATCATAACTTTAATATAATTCTCAGAAACGTCCAAACATATTTTTATTTATTTTATAGGTGGGAAACTTGCGTTGAGGCAATACCGTTGCAAGACGTCTTATCTTATCTCTATATTAAGAAGTACAATATGACACATAATATAAAAGCTGTATGATCCTAAAATCTTTCTCTTTCCTGAAATTTATAAATAAGACATTGCAGTAAATAACAAACGAAATAATTTTGTATTAATATACTTTAGGCGACTGAAATGACTGCGGAACTAAAAACGGAGCTGAGAAATCATATACTATATTCAAAGTGGATGGATAATAATACGAAGGAGTTTATAATATCCAAAATAGATAATTTGATACAACTAATTGGTTATCCCGAATGGTATAATAATCAGACTGCACTCATCAAACGCTACGAAGGAGTAGGAAATTCAACGCACGTTTTTAACGTAATATTAAAAAATTATAATGTAACATTAAAAACTAATCAAATGTATGTGTTTCTAGTTGCAGATAGGTCAGAATTATTTCAAAAATGTTTTAACAGTCGTGATATACGAAATGAGAAGATTTCTTAAAGAATTTCGAAAACCTGTGAACAAATACGAGTAAGTCTATTCGTATAATATACCCAGACAGCACCGGACATCTAATGGATGTACATTTCACGTCCAATTTATGTCCGTATGTCCGATTTACGTCTGTGGACATAAATTGGATGTAAGAGGATGTCCTTATTGGACATCGGATCTGTAGGATGTCCGATGTACGTCCATCGGACGTCCATGTCCGAAGTTGTGACAAACGTACGTCTTATGGATGTCTTTTGTAAAAAAGAATGGACATATAACGGACGTCCAGTGGACGTCCGTGTGCTATTTGGGTAATAAATGGCTTAGTCTCAATCAGATAGATTGAATATTATACAAGCTTTCAATGTTATTAATGTAAGAAATATTATTACAGATGGGTTGAGTCCCCTCTAAATAAAAATTCTTTTTATTACTCATTGAGTAACGGAATAAGTACTTTTTTCTCCATTTAATTATATATATATATATATAGCATTAGCATAATATTTTTAACGCGATGTTATTTTATCACTAACAAATTTAACTTTATTGCTTTCAGATATACCAATATCTGAGATCCAGGATCCGTATTTTGCTCCCGGCATGCCACTGTGAGTGAATAAAATATAAAATATAAAATATAAAAGAATATTATCAGTACTTTAAATTAAAAGACAAAAAGTTTCATTTGTAATTAACTTTTTCAGTGCATTTAATTACGGTAGTGTAGGTACGGTTATCGGACACGAGCTTACGCACAGTTTTGATAGCAATGGTTAGTTTTGACAAATGCTCATAATCCATTAGTATATTATTAGTCAATGCATTATTGTCTTATAAATTGTGTACGTAAAATGTATAGGAATGCAACATGATAAGTTCGGCAATAAATATTCACAACATTCTAAGAAAATGAATGAAGCTTACAAGGAAAGACTAAAGTGCTTTGTGGATCAATATAATAATTTCACAATAATAACAACAGACGGATATGAAGAACGAGTATGTATTCATAATTACGACGGTTTATATTAAATTTATTTATTGGCAAATCCAAAAAGAACAATACAAATCTATACACGATATCGTCGACTCGTTTTATCTAACTCGAAATTTTAGCGTTCTCTAAATTTAGAGAAGGAAAAATATGTGCGATGAGCGTACTTTTCTGCTTATTTTTAGATAAATGGCCTACTTACAAGAAATGAAAATGTCGCTGACAATATTGGCCTCGAAATTGCCTTCGCAACATTTAAAAAACTCTTACTAACTGCAGGACCACAACCGAAATTGCCAGGATTAACGAATCTCACTGACGAACAATTGTTTTTCTTATCCTACGTAAATGTAAGTCGAATATCTTATAAATATATTAACATATAAGGAAAATTTGCTTGGGTGCGAATTCTTCAAATTTATCATTGTGAAATCAATTATTATAAACTTTTATTATATAAATTATGCATATAAATTGTGTTTTAAAGGCATGGTGTGAAACATCAAGAGACTTTTACGAGGAAGACTCTATTAACACTGACGTTCACGCATTTCCAAGATTTCGTATAGTCGGCTCTGCGGCTAATATGATATCTTTCTCTAAAGCGTTTAATTGCTCAGTGAACAGCCCAATGAATCGTAAATCCAAGTGCAACTTATGGAGATAGGCTGAAATATCGAAAAAACTTTACAAATTAATCCGAATTAAATATTAACGCGTTAAGAATATAACAACCTGTAAGATTTTAAAGAAACTTTAAAACTTTCTTATACTATTAACTCTTGGTTGAACAATCGAAACAACATGGAAGAAATAATATTATATAAAATTTTGTCTTGATTTTGTCTTAGCACTATTTATAAGTGGGATTTTATAAATAAAACAGAAAGGCGTTTTTATAAAGAAATAATAATAAAAAATTATACAAAAAGTCTAAAATCACGTCTGTCTTGATTTATTGAACTAACAGCAAAAAAATACAATATGACATGCACTTGTCATGTAGCTTTTATTCGTATTACATAATTGGTAATACATTTTAAGAAATCGTACAGGACAGATTTGGAATATCCATTGTCAAAAATTGAGTATTCTCAGATTTAATAACAGGATCTGTCACTTTTCTTCGAGACTACTCGCCGATTGGCCATATGCATTACCTTGCTCGCCAGACAACAAAAAACAAGATTCTTTGCGCAAAATCGTAAAAAATCATGCGTAGACCTTGATCAACCGACAATGTCGATAACAAAACCCAAACATTTCGGAAGAAAAGTTCCTCTCTGTATATAGTAGGACCCGAAGAATATGTTGTACCATAAGCTCTTCGAAAACTATTAAAGTAGAGATTTGCAAGAACAATTGATACATTTGTGCGATGCAATTGAGAAAAAAAGACCATTTACTAGGCAAAGCAGCCGTGAAGACATCCTGCTACACGACAATGTTAAACCGCATACAGCAGAAACCACAAAGGAAACCTTCTTAGGCTGGGAAGTTTTCCCACGCTACGTATTCTCCAGACTTGCTTCCATCAGATATTCACTTGTTTCGGTCGACTCATTGTCTGATACATATTTTTCGACAGTTGGCAACGTACGAAATTTCATCGATAACTTTATAGTATAAGCTACCTCAAAGTCTCAAAGCCACCAAATTTCTATCGCGATAGGTTTCGGCAATTGAGCAGTAAATAGCGTAAGATCATTGATAACAACGGAGAATATTTCATTGATTAATCTTGTTCTATTAATTTTTAATAAAAATTTAAATTTGTCAAAAGACAGAAAAAATTAACCACTAGATCTTGTAGTTTAACCAATAATAAGATCAAAAAGCAAAGTGTAACAAACTACTGTAAAACAGTCACCCATGTATTATTTATTTAAATTTTATACATTAGCAATCAAAATTTCTAGAAAAATGGCTAATACATTAGATTACAATATATTTCGATTAAACGCTTTCCTCTCTCTATTGACATGCATGTCATGCGTTTGCCTCCGTTTAAAAAGCAGACGTGTTAATATATTATTATAAAACGCTTTTGTTTAGAAACCATAAACTACTCATATTTAACCAAAATTTTAAAGAGAACACGTACAACCACTGTTTTTTCTCGTTTTCGTCATTGTTATATTTATCATCGTAAGTGATTGGCATGATTCATCTCTTACTACACGTTTGTAATTATGCCGTCTTTACATAATACGATATAAATCTCCCGAGATAAAACCTATACGAGAGGCTCACTGCTTTGTGTTTCACCATCTGAGAACGAACGCGGAAAACAAGAACATTACTACTAGAGTTGTTTGTAATGGTACATAGCTGATCAGTTCGCTCGAATTTATTGATTCAAAAGTGATCCCAATTTGCCGCAAAAATAATGTGTTTAACTGTTCCAAAGTGTCCTGTTCTAATAAATTGTCAAGTGTAAACATGTCTCTCTTGCCGTTATTGTGAGTTCCATCTTCCGTTATTCACTTGTTATTTCATGTTTCTGACATTGTTAGAATAAAAATTTATAAATGTGTGGTGAAAATTGCAGAATGGAAAAGAAAGTGTGATTGTTCCCTGTGAAAATGACATATTTTATTCGTGAAAACATGTTCAACGTTTGTTACCGTGCATAAATAACTGTAACAAAGAAATTCCCTTGATTTCTCTTTCAGGCTCCTTAATTTTGCATTTCACGCAATTTCGAATAAGCGCAATCGCAATTTATTGAAAAGAAATCACACAAACTCGCGTGCCACGTATATCCTTGCATTGTTTCTACGCCGTCGATTCGATTTCTAGGAATTAATTATTCTGGTTTTACAGCTTGTGCATCGCAGTCGTAGAAGTATCTGCGTTCCCTAATCGTCGACCGATTAATTACACCATATGCGAGACTGATGCGTGTCACACAGTTGGTATGTTAATGAATGTATGTTACATGTAACAATAATGTGTGTGACGTAACGTCAAGTTCTCCTCTTAACTGTTTTACATACGAATAAAATAGAATTATGAAAATTTCGTATTATGTTTAAAAAAAGCGAAACTATGTAAACATCGAAATGCACGTTGCAAAATAATTAATTATTAATGATTAATGATAATTTAATAAAAATTTAAATTACATTATATCGGGAAAGGTGGTGTAATATTATATTACTTCTCGGATACAGGACAGATGATTCAACGTGGTATCAACTATTCTTCCGATCCTTGTGATAATTTCTATAATTATGGATGCGGTTCATGGGCAGCAAACAATCCTATGCCCCCCAGTGCATTATATTGGAATACGGATAAGGTGTATATTATGAAGATTAATCGACGTCTGAAAGGTATGCGGCTCGACAATGCGTGTAGAAACGTGTAATTAAAACTGAATGTATCTCTTACGCAAGAATACTTAAAAACAATTATTGTTTCGAACAAGATTTTCTTTTCGATCTGCCAATGTCAAGAAATGTCTAAAAATAAGCATCGTCTTTGTATGCTACTATTTATCTTTCATTTTTTATTTATCTTGAAGAATTATTGGAAGAACGAAGCAAACATGACAAATTGCCGCCTATACGAAAGCTTAAGCAATATTATCGCTCATGCATGGACGAAGGTATGAACTTTGCATTTCTTGATGTCATTTTTAATATCAAACATTTAATCGATTCTATAACGTAATTGAATTAATTTTGAATTCCGAAAATACGTTTACAAACGCAATAACTTTATATCTATGGTACTGCAGATGCGATCGAGAAGGAAGGACTCGAACCTATGATGACAATGTTAGATGCGACCGGTGGATGGCCAATTATAATGGAGAATGAAGGCACAAACTTGGAGAATTATACTTGGCAAGATATCGATAATGCTTACATTCCGATTTTTGGCTTTAGCAGTTTTGTTGATATTAGTTATGAACCTGATGATGAAAATTCAAACTACAATATACTTATGGTATCTTTTTATTTATCTAATCATACATGCACGTATACTACAGATATATGGTTCATATATATTTTTAACAAGCGTTTTAATATTAATCGAATGGAACATATCTTTTTGGCTTATTTTGTTATGATAAATACTTTTCAATTTATATCGGACACGTTCGTATTAGACAGACTAGATCTATACGTGCCGAAGTAAATGAATGCTTAATATTAACATAACTAATATGTAAACAATTAAAATATGTATGATTATAGATAAATATAGATAAAATATCTCTTACCGAAAACAAACTTTATTCAGAAAGAGTGTTGTTCTCGAATCCGGATCTAACTAAAATGGAAGAGATAATAAAAGCTTTTGCCAAATACAAAGGAGCTAAGATAAATACAAACAGAATGGACAAGGAAATAGAAGATTTATTCCTTTTCGAAGAGAAATTTAAAGATGTAATTATTTGTAAATAATTTTAATGTAATTATTCCATGTTAATATTACACTCTGCCTATTAATACTATACATGTATAAAACCATAACTAATAAAATAAACGAATCGGAATAAACGTACGACTTATCTTTCACAGATCATTAGAAAGTCATATGAAAACGTTTTTAAAGGACTGGAGATAAATCGTACCAAAATGACGATTTCAGAATTACAAGAGTATTACGATCTTGCAAAAACGGAAAATACCACTTCGAAGGTAAAGGAATTCTTCAATTTTAGCTACACTCTTTACGAACAAATAAGTACTCGTCGAATATAGAGAACAAAATTTTACATAAATATAGTAATAATATACATACATATTATATCAAAATTGTGGTAATAATACTGATGATACAAGAGAATAATTGTTGTTTTACAATTACATTACGATTACAAGTTCATTACGATACCACAAAATTTTTTTCAGATTAATTGGTTACAGACGTTACAATCTGTTTACAACAGTGTTAATGTGAGTATTAACGCTTCCGAACCTGTGAATGTATATAACAAAAAGCTTCTGCACAAATTGGCATATTTGTTAGACGCAACATCGCCTCGTATACTTGGTAAAATATTAATGATGTATAAGAAAAGAAATATGTTAAAATAACATTTTAATGTTCGATTTTTCTTCACAGTGAATTTCGTACAATGGGATATTGTACGTAAACTTGTGCCGTTTCTGACCAAAAGTGTGAGAGACATTGATTTCAAATCAACCCATGAAAAATACAATGTAACCGAACAAAAACCTCGGTAAGTCACGATACTTAGTAAATTGTAACTTTAATATAATTCTCAGAGACGTCCAAACATATTTTTATTTATTTTATAGATGGGAAACATGTGTTCAGGAAATACCATTCCAAAACGCCTTGTCTTATCTTTATGTTAAGAACTACAATATAACACATAATATAAAAGCTGTATGATCCTAAAATTTCTCTTTTTGTCAAAAATGTTTATAAATAAGATATTAAAGTAAATAACAAACGAAAGAATTTTGCATTAATGTGCTGTAGGTAATTGAAATGATTGAGGAAATAAAAACAGAACTGAAAAAACATACATTACATTCAAAGTGGATGGATAATAATACGAAGGAATTTATAGTATCCAAAATAGATAATTTGGTACAATTAATTGGTCATCCCGAATGGTACAATAATCAAACTGCACTCATCAAACGTTACGAAGGAGTAGGAAATTCAATGCACGTTATTAACGTAATATTAAAAAAATATAATGTAACATTAAAAACCAAACAAATGTATGTGTTTCTAGTTCCAGATAGGACAGAATTATTTCAAAAACGTTTTAACAGTCGTGATATACGAATTGAGAAGATTTCTCAAGGAATTTCGAAAACCTGTGAATAAATATGAGTAAGTCTATTTATATAATATAGTAAATGATTTACTTTTAATCCCTCGGATAGATTAAATATTATACAAGCTTTCAACATTGATAATGTAAGAAATATTATTGCAGATGGTTTTATTTCCCTCTAGATAAAAATTCCTACTATGACCAATCGAGTAACGGAATAAGTACTTTTTTTATTATTTGATTATATACAGGGTGTTTGATAGCTGATCATGCAGACGAAAGTTGGAGATAGATTGGGTGTAGCCGAGAAGAAAAGTCATGTACCATAATGTCAAATTGCCAATAGTTATCGAGTTATTAATTAAAACATGTGAGCCAGCGCGTAGAGAGCGGAGGGCGACCGCAGTACGCGCGCAGAGCGCGAACGACGAGGAGCGAGCAAGCTATAAGAAAAAAGCTATAAAGAAAAAGCTCGCTCGCTCCTCGTCGCGCGCGATCGCCTCTTGTCGCTTACGTTGCCCCTCGCCACGCGCGCTCGCCTATCGCCACTCGCTGACTCCGCCTGTATCAAATGGCTACGTGTTTACTGCGGCCGCCCTCTACGCGCTCGTTGGCTCACATGTTTTAATTAATAACTCGGTAACTATTGCCAATTTGACATTATGGTACATGACTTTTCTTCTCGGCTACACCCAATCTATCTCCAACTTTCGTCTGCATGATCAACTATCAAACACCCTGTATATATATACACATATAATAGCATTAGCATAATACTTTTAATGCGACGCCATTTTATCACTAACAAATTTAACTTTGTTGCTTTCAGATGTACCAATTTCTGAGATCCAGGATCCGTATTTTGCTCCCGGCATGCCGCTGTGAGTGAATAAAATATAAAATACTTTAAATTAAAGGATAAAAAGTTTCATCCGTAATTAATTTTTTCAGTGCGTTTAACTACGGTAGTGTAGGTACGGTTATCGGACACGAGCTTACGCACAGTTTTGATACTACTGGTTAGTTTTGACAAATGCTCATAGTCCATTAGTCTATTATTAATCAATGCATTATCGTCTTATAAATTTTGTACGTAAAATGTATAGGAATGCAACACGATAAGTTCGGCAATAAATATTCACAACATTCTAAGAAAATGAATGAAGCTTACAAGGAAAGACTAAAGTGCTTTGTGGATCAGTATAATAATTTCACAATAATAAGAACAGACGGATATGAAGAACGAGTATGTACTCATAATTGCGGCAGTTTATATTAAATTTATTTATTGGCAAATCCAAAGAGAGAAAGAGAAAGAGAAAACAATACAAATTTATATACCATACTTTCGATCTGTTTTATCTAACTAGAAATTGTAACGTTCTCTAAATTTAGAGAAGGAAAAATATGTACAATGAGCATACTTTTCTATTTATTTTTAGGTAAATGGCCTACTTACAAGGAACGAAAATGTCGCTGACAATACTGGCCTCGAAATTGCCTTCGCAACATTTAAAAGACTCTTGCTAACTGCGGGACCACAACCGAAATTGCCAGGATTAACGAATGTAACTGACGAACAATTGTTCTTTTTGTCCTATATAAATGTAAGTCGAATAACTTATAGGTAAATATATTAACATATCAGGAAAATTTACTTAGGTGAATTCTTCAAATTTATCATTGTGAAATCAACCATAATAATCTTTTATTATACAGGGTGTTTGAAAGCTTATCATACAGATGAAAGTTGGAGATAGATTGGGTGTAGCCGAGAAGAAAAGTCATGTACCATAATGTCAAATTGGCAATAGTTAACGAGTTATTAATCGAAACATGTGAGCCAATGAGCACGTAGAGAACGGTAGGCTGCCGCGGTAAGCACGTAGATATTTGGTATAGGCGGAGTCAACGAGCGTCGATAAGCGAGCGCGCGTGGCGAGAGGCAACTGTAAGTGACAAGAGGCAAGCGCGCGCGACGAGGAGCGAGCACGAACAACGAGCGAGCGAGTACAAGCGACAAGAAGCGGCCGCCCAGCGCTCTCTACGCGCACATTGGCTCACATGTTTCAATTAATAACTCGATAATTATTGCCAATTTGACATTATGGTACATGACTTTTCTTCTCGACTACACCTAATCTATCTCCAACTTTCGTCTATATGATAAGCTTTCAAACACCCTGTATATATATGAAAAAACTGTATTTTAAAGGCATGGTGTGGAACATCAAGAAACTTTTATGAGGAAGATTATATTAACAATGACGTTCACACATTTCCAAGATTTCGTACGATCGGCTCTGCGTCTAACTTTGTATCTTTCTCTAAAGTGTATAACTGCTCAGTAAACAGTCCAATGAATCGTCAATCCAAGTGCAACTTATGGAAATAGGCTGAAATATCTAAGAGATTTTACAAATTAATCCGAACTAAATATTAATGCGTTAACAATACAATACAATACAATACAACAAATCTTTACGATTTTAAAGGAACAAAGCTTCCTTGTACTATTAACTCTAGGTTGAATAATCGAAACAACATAGAAGAAATAATATTATAAAAAGCGATTAGCGCTATTTATTAGTGGAATTTTATAAATGAAATAAAAAGGCGTTTTTATATAATTTATATAAAGAAATAAAAAAATCTATACAGAAAGTATAAAATCACATATATCTTGATTTATTACTAACAGCAGAAAAACACAATATGACATGCACCTGTTATATAACTTGTTATGTAACTTTTACTCATATTACAGAATTAGTAGTACATTTTAAGAAATCGTACAGGACAGATTTGGAATATCCATTGTCAAAAATTGAGTATTCTCAGATTTAATAACAGGATCTGTCACTTTTCTTCGAGACTGCAGTCTCTAACTATTAATCTAACCTTACGATATCAACCCATATTATTCAATCTTACTTAAAGCAGTATGCTCGCTTAAAGCGAACATGTCATAAAGTAGCAATTAATAGAACAAATGTCAGTAGTTTACACTCCACATGTTTTACAATTTCAATAAAACAACATGTGCCTATGTGCATTTGTTAGATTAAACTTTGTTTTCTGCCAATGTTGGTGACATCCCATAATAATTATAAGAATCTCGTTAAAACCTTGCCTAAGAAGAACAATATGCTTTATAAAAGCTGTTTAAATACGTATGCGAAAGAAGCGATAAATATATTACATTTCACATACATACACATGTTCACAGGTCTCTATAGACGTACTATACATAACTGGCATTTCTATTGGATGCTTGAATAAGTTTCCGCCTTTTTTTTCTGTGAAATGAAAGACTAGTGTTTCATGAGAAACAGAAAAAATAGTTTATTCAAAGTAATGCCCGTTGTTAGCTATAACCTTTTCTCACTTTTTACATAATAAGTGGATTCCACAATAGAAGAACTCCAGTTCTTTTGAAGCCATTCAGTGCTCAAGCCAATTTTTAATATCTTCATATGGAGTGAAATGCTGCTCAGCAAGGCTACACGGACCGAAACAAATGATAATCAGAAGAAGCCAGGTCTGGGGAATAAAATTTACCTTTTTAAACAAAAAGATGAAAAAAGTGCCTAGTATACGCGCAACAAGTATTGTTATTTTTAGAAATATCAAATTCATATTATTTTTTTTTTCAAGATATATATGTACGTAACATAAATTTTTACAAGTAAAACTTAACTATAATAAAACTGTACAACATTGTTCTACTATACAAAAGAAGTGATATATTAAAACAGTAGCGCCCACTGAGAAACTTGACATATATATATGAATATAATATAATTAATTCTTTATTCAAAATGAATGACAATGTTTGCGCTTTTAGTATTGTGCATCGTACCGCATCTGAGCGTATATCTTTGGGCAATGTAATTCATTATTTCCGTTATATAAGTAATAAGTTTGTACACGTAAGAATAACTAGAACACTGAGTTATATGGTTATTTTATTTATTATTATAACAAATTAATTGTATAATGCAATAAAATATATTTAATGCAAAAAATATTGGCGCGGTTGCACCAAAAACTAATGATAAATTTGTGATGCGGGCAAGCTATTAATATATTTTATTTCATATATTCATCGTGTGGATATATGAAACATGTATCACATCATTTATCGGTGAAACATTCTTCTAATATTAAAATGTCTAAAGCTCATGCAATAGTAAAATGTAAACAATTTCCTTATAAATACAGTCTAATGTAAAATATTCTTAAAATAAGTATGTCAAGATAATATTCGAATGTATCGAATATTAATAATATGATATATTGTATATTAAATTTAAATATAAATATAATAATAAATTTAAATATAAATATAATATAAATAATAAATGCTGTCATATATGTATTAAATAAGTTTTAGTTTGATATAGTTTTTGGTGCAGTCGCATCAAGATTTTTTACATTATGCTCTCTCTCTCTCTCTCTCTCTCTCTCTCTCTCCCTCTCTCCCTCTCCCCCCATCCCTCTCCCCCCTCTCCCTCCCCTCCCCCTCTCCCTCCCTCTCTCTCCCTCCCTCTTCCTCTCCCTCTTCTCTCTCTCTCTCTCTCTCTCTCTCTCTCTCTCTCTCTCTCTCTCTCTCTCTCTCTCGCACATTATCTTCTCCTGTATTCTATTGTAGCATATTCTTCTCTCTCTAACTCTTTCTTTCTCTTGCCCACTCGTACAAGCTACTATCTGCTTCTTCAGCGCGCTTGTAACGCTTCTGGTGTCGAAAAAACGAGATGCACACATATCCCCATTCCTGTGCGTCTTGTGTTTCTCACTTTCTTACTGAATCGAAATTTTCCGTGATTCGAACTTTATTTTAAAATACCTCCGTAGAGACAACGTACACAAAAAACACAAGAACACTTTTCTTCCTATTTTTTAAGACCAAATCGATCGGGACTGAAAAAACCTCTATCGGTTTAACCATTGCTGAGATATGAGTATTGGTGCAACCGCGCCAATATTTTTTGCATTAAATATATTTTATTTACTTCGTTTCAACTTGTAGTTTCACGTAATATAGGCACGGTGTACCTCGCGCCGTCTGGATGCAACTTCGTTGCACTTGAACTTGGCGAGGCACTACCGTACCTCTTGATACGAGAGGCTGACTGCTTTGCATTCCATTGTCTGGGAACGAGCGTGGAATACAAGAATATTTGTCTACTAGAGTTGCTCGTAATCGTATATAGCCGATCAGCATATTCGAATTTGTTGTTTTAAAAGTGACTCTGATCTGCCCCAATAATAATATGTTCAACTTTTCCAAAGTGTACTGTTCTAATAAATTGTCAAGTGTAAACATGTCTTTCTTACCGTTATTGTGAGTCGCATCTTCCGTTTCTTACTTATTATTTCATGTTTCTGACATTGTTTGAATAAAAATCTAGAAATGTAGTGAAAATTGCACAATAGAGAAGAAAGTGATTGTTCCTAGTGAAAGTGACATATTTTACTCGTGAAAACATGTTCAACGTTTGTTACCGCATACAAACAACTGTAGCAAGGGAATTTCCTTGACTTCTCTTTCTCTCTCCTTAATTTTGCATTTCACGCAATTTCGAACAAGCACAATCGCAATTTATTGAGAAAAAATCGTACAATCTCACGTGACACATATCGTGACCTTGCATCGTTTCTACGTTATCAATTCGATTTCCAATCAATTACTCAATTTTTATAGCTTGTATATAACAGTCGTAGAAGTGGCTACGTTTCCTAATCGTCGACCGATTAATTACACCGAGACTGACGTATATCATATAGTTGGTATGTTAATAAACGTAATATGTTACATGCAACGACGTGATGTCAACTTTTCCTCTTAGCTGTCTTACGTAAGCGCAAATAAAATGGAATTAGAAAAATTTTGATGTGAAGAAAAAGCGGAATTACGTAAACATCGAAATGCACATTATAAAATGTCGCGAGAAATATATAATAACATATACAGTGAAATGTATAGGTTAGCATATGAATATGTGTCGATACTTTTCACAGACGGAGCAAATTTTTCGCAGGATGCTATAATAAATTATCATAATAATCATCTATGGTCATACAAAAATCCGCATGGTGTTATTGAATTTCAGCATCAGCATAAGTTTTCATGCAGTGTATGGGCTAGTACGTATTATTGAAGATTTCCTTCTTAGATAAATTTTTCTTCCACCTACACTTAATGGTAACAACTACAGACAATTTTTGGAAACGCAACTCCCTATATTATTAGAAGACTTTCCACTACAAATACGCAATCAAATGTGGTTCATGCATAATAGATTTCGAGCACAGTTTTCAGCCGCACTACTCGAGAGTTCCTGAATAATAATTACATCAATAGATGGATTGGTAGAGGAGGACCAAGCGCTTGGCCTGTATGATTTCCCGATTTAAACCCTTTGGATTTTTATTTATCGGGACATTTTGAAAAAAAACTCTCGTTTATGATACTCCTGTTGCTACCGTGAAAGTACTCCGAAATCGTATTATCGCTTCGTGTGACAAAATATGAAATACTCCGGGAATTTTTTAATGTCTTCGACATTCCATGCGACGTCGATGCGAGGCATGCATCAAAAGGAAGGAAATCATTTTCAGCAATTTATATAATGAAATGTTTTTACAGTTCAAACGTTGATAAAGTAAAGTAAAGACTGTAAATAAAGTAAATAAGAAAGTTTATAACTTGGAAAGGAAGAGTTTCCGAACTCATGTTTATATGACTTCTTTTCATCCTTACAATAAGTGGAATATGTTCTTGAAGTTTGGTCAACTATTTTTGAAGTACCTTGTATATACAGGGTGTCACAGACCACCCGCGCCATCCGATTTTTTTATAAACGCGATATTTTAAAGAAAAATGTTTCAGACAAAAGTTGTTTAATTTGAAGGGGGATATAAGACAGCGATAGCATTTTGTTTACAAATGGCGCCACTTTCAGATATTCTCTGATCATTATTTTTTTTAAATAGAAACCCCAATTTTTTATTATATCATCTTTTATCGCCAGTTAATTTTAATAATTTTTGTCTGAAATATTTTTTTATTTGCCTAATATTTTTTTTAGATATTTATAGAAAACTTGATAATTTTTTCAATATTTAATTTACGATATCTCACTAACTATTTGTCGAAAGAAAAAATAATAGACTTTTTTACTCTATTTAGTCTCAAGAATATATTGTTACAATAGTGCCCTAACTTTTATTAACTTATCAACCTTTGGAAATTCCAAAATCCTCAAATTAACAAAAGTCAAGGCACTATTGTAATAATATATTCTTGAAACCAAACAGGGTAAAAAAGTCTAAAAGCACTTTTTTCCGACAAATAGCGAGATATCGTAAGTTAAATATTAAAAAAAATTATCAAATTTTCCTTAAATATCTCAAAAAATATTAGGCAAATAAAAAAATGTTTCAGACAAAATTATTAAAATTAATTGGTAGAAAAAGATGATATAATAAAAAATTAGAGTTTCCGTCTAAGAAAAGTAATGATCAGTGAATATCTTGAAAGCCATCTGTAAACAAAATTATATAGTTATTTTATGTCCCCCTTGAAACCATACAACTTTTGTGTGAAACATTTTTTTCAAAAATATTTAATTTTCAAAATATAACAGTTATAATATTTTAGAATAAAGATAGAAAAATCCGAATTAAAAGATGTGAATATATCGTAGAAAACTAAATTGCTTATACTTATAGGAAGTAAAAATGATTGACAAATATTTTATATAAATTGTATGTAACGTTATATCTTTTTTATTTTGTAGTCGTTTTTTTCCTTGTACAATTGTTTCTTGTAAAACAATATTCTTGTAAAACAAACATAACATTTCAACGATAACATTTCAAATCTAATATTAGATTAACTAATATAAAACTCTTATAAAAGAAACACTCAAATATTGAGTGTTTAGGCTCAATTTTGATCGATGCAACACGTACTGTCTGATACACATTTTTCGACAGTTGGCGACGAAATTTCATCGATGACTTATAAACTACCTCGAAGCCTCAAAGCCATCAAGTTTCTATCGTAATACTTCAATTTTTCAATAACTGGCCAATAAATGACGTAAGATCATCGATAACAACGGAGAATATTTCATTGATTAATTTTGTTCTATTAATTTTTGAAAAAAGATTGAAAATTATCGAAAGTCGGAAAGAATTAACTACTAGACCTTATAATTTAAGCAATAATAAAATCAAAACATTTAAAGCAAAGTGTAACAAACTACTGTAAAACATTACCCCATGTTTATTGTACTGTATATTGTATTATTTATTTAAATTTCATATATTAGCAATCAAAATTTCTAGAAAAATGGCCAATGCATTAGATTCATACACTTAAATTATATGCTTCCCTCTCTCTATTGACATGCATGACGTCATACGTTTGTCTCCGTTTAAAAGACTTGTTAATACATTATTTTAAAAGGCTTTTGCTTAAAAAAAATTAACTACTCATATTTTAATAAAAATTTTAGAGAGAACACATACTGTTTTTCCTTGTTTTCGTCAATGTTATATCTATCGTCATAAATAATTGGCATGACTCATCTCTTACTGCACTTACTGCAATTATGTCGTTTTTACATAACGTATTATACGATACAAATCTCCCGAGATAAAACCTATACGAGAGGCTCACTGCTTTGCATTCCACCGTCTGAGAACGAGCGCGGAAAATAAGAACATTACTACTAGAGTTGTTCGTAATAGTACATAGCCGGTCAGTTCGCTCGAATTTGTTGATTCAAAAGTGATTCCAATCTGCCGCAAAAATAATGTGTTTAACTTTTTCAAAGTCCTGTCCTGTTCTAATAAATTGTCAAGTGTAAACATGTCTCTCTTGCCGTTATTGTGAGTTCCATCTTCCGTTATTCACTTGTTATTTCATGTTTCTGACATTGTTAGAATAAATATCTATAAATGTGGTGAAAATTGCACAATGGAGGAGAAAGTGTGATTGTTTCCTGTGAAAGTGACATATTTTATTCGTGAAAACATATTCAACGTTTGTTACCGCGTATAAACAATTGTAACAAGGAAACTTCCTTGATTTCCCTTCCTCTCTCCTCAATTTTGCATTTTACGCAATTTCGAATAAGCGCAATCACAATTTATTAAAAAGAAATCGCACAAACTCATGTGATATGTATCCTTGTATTGTTTCTACGCCGTCGATTCGATTTCTAGGAATTAATTACTCTATTTTTACAGCTTGTATATCGCAGTCGTAGAAGTAGCTGCGTTTCCTGATCGTCGACCGGCTAATTACAACGTATGCGAGACCGATGCGTGTCGCACAGTTGGTATGTTAATGAACGGAACATATTACATGTAACGACGTGACGTCAATTTTTCCTCTTAGCTATCTTACATAAGCACGAATAAAGTGGAATTAGGAAAATTTCGTGTTACGCTTGGAAAAACGCGAAACTATGTAAACATTATAATGCACATTGCAAAATGTCGCGAAAACTTGGTACTTTCTATACTGAGTGTATAGAAAGTACCAAGATGGCGGAATATCTTGAAAACTAAACATTTCAGAAAAAATAGCGCCTTAACTTTTGTTAATTTGATGATTTTTTAATTTCCAAAGATCGATAAGTTAACAAAAGTTAGGGCAATATTATAACAATATATTCTTGGGATCAAATAGAATAAAAAAGTCTAGTATTACTTTTTCTTCTGACAAATAGCGGGATATCGTAAGTCAAATGTCGTAAGTTGAAAAAGTTATCAAGTTTTCCTTAAATATCTCAAGAAATATTAAGTAAATAAAAAAATGCTTCAGACAAAAGTTGTTAAAACTAATTAGAAATTTAGAAAAAGATTTAGAGAAAGATGATATAATAAAAAATTGGACTTTCTATTTAAGAAAAGTAATGATCAGTGAATATCTCGAAAGTAGTGCCATCTATAAACAAAATGATATCGCTGTCTCCTTTTCAAACAACACAATTTTTGTCTGAAACATTTTTTTTTCTAAAATGCTTAGTTTTTGAAATATTTCTGTGCTGATACTTTCTATATGTCCTATATAATAATGGATATAAATAATATTTGAATTTTATATTAATCGATAATAATTAATGATAGTATAATAAAAATTTAAATTACATTGTGTTAGGAAATATGGTAGAATATTATATTACTTTTCGGACACAGGACAAATGATTCAACGTGGTATCGATTACTCTTCCGATCCTTGTGATAATTTCTACAATTATGGATGTGGTTCATGGGCGGCGAACAATCCTATGCCGCCTAGTGCATTAACTTGGGATACGGATGAGCTGTATGTTATGAAGATTGATCGACGACTGAAAGGTACATGGCTCGGCAATGCGTATAGGAACGTGCAATTAGTATTGAATATATTAGGTGTGTGAATTAATTCGGTCCATGTGGCGGTCAATTGCTGTACTTTTCTAACCTCTAATGTCCGCAAAAGGCTTTATTTTTTAAAACTAAAATCTGATATCTGGCAATAATATTCAGTTGATAAACGTTTAGGTTTGTAACAATAACATCGTGTTTATCTGATTCGAAAATGTCGAAATTCGAGCCAAAAAAACATCATTTCCGGGAAGTTTTCATTTAAAGGAAACAGCCGCTGGAGCTCATCGAATGCTTGTAAAAGCTTATGGTGAAAGTGCAACCACCGATAAATCATGCAGAGAATGGTTTCGACGTTTCAAAAGTGATAATTTCAGTGTCGATGACAAACTTCGTCCAGGTCAGCCGAAAAAATTCGAGGACGAGGAATTGCAGGCGCTAATCGATGAAGATCCGTGTCAATCGCAACATGAGCTCGCGCAATTATTGAATGTTGATTGATCAGCAATTTCTGTGCGTTTGGCAACCATGGGAAAGATTTACAAAGAAGGAAGATGGGTACCATACGAATTGAAAGAAAGAGACATCGAGAGGCGAAAAGCCATGTCTGAAATCTTGCTTGTCAGGCAAAAAAGAAAAGGTTTTTTGCATCGTATTGTGACTGGAGACGAAAAGTGGATATATTTCAATAATCCCAAACGAAGGAAATCCATTAGCGACCCAGGAAAATCCACATCGATACCAAAGCGGAATATTCACGGCAAGAAAGTAATGTTCTGTACATGGTGGGACCAGAAAGGTGTAGTGTATCATGAACTATTAAAACAGAGTCGAACCATCACTGCCGAACTTTACCAACAACAATTGATCCGTTTAAACAACGCATTGAAGAATAAGCGGCCGGAATATGTAAAGAGACATGACAAAGTGATCTTCCAGCACGATAACTCTCGGCCACATGTTGGAAAGATTGTGAAGGTCACCTTGGAAGCACTTGGCTGGGACGTTTTACCTCACCCGCCGTATTCACCAAACATTACTCCATCCGATTATCACTTGTTCAGATCGGTGGCATACGGGCCAGCACTTTCGGACCAGCACTTCAACAATTATGAAGCAATAGAGAAATGGCTCAATGAATGGATCACTTCGAAGGACGAGTCGTTTTTCCGTCACGGAATGCAACAACTGCCAGGCAGATGAGAAAAAATAATAGCAAGCGATGGCAAATACTTTGATCAGTGTACTTTTTAATGTTTTTTCATACTAAAGTCTTTTTTTGGGAGAAAAAGCGGACCGAATTAATTCACACACCTAATATCTCCCGCGCAAGAATATTTAGTAACGATTATTATTTCGAACAAGATTTTCTCTTCGAGATTTCATCTGCCAATGTCAAGAAATGTCTAAAATAAGCATCGTCTTTATATCCCACTATTTATCTTGTATGTCTTATTTATCTTGAAGAGATACTTGAAGAACGAAGTAAATATGACGAATTGCCGCCTGTACAAAAACTCAAGCAATATTATCGCTCATGCATGGACGAAGGTATGAACTTTGCACTTCTTGATATCGTTTTTAATATCAAATGTTTAATTGATCCTATGATGTAATTGAGATAATTTTACGTGAGTACCGAAAGTACGTTTACAAACACAACAATTTTGTGTCTGTGGTATTGTAGATGCGATCGAGAAAGAAGGACTCGCACCTGTAATGACAATGTTAGATGCGACCGGTGGATGGCCAATTATAATGGAGAAAGCGGACACGAACATGGAAAATTTTACTTGGCAAGATATCGATAATGCTTATATTCAGCTTTTTACCCTTAGCAGTTTTTTCGAAATTAATTATGAACCTGATGATGAAGATTCAAACCGCAATATACTTACGGTATCTTTTTATTTATCTAATCATATGCGCACGTATATTACAGATATATGGTTTACATATATTTTTAACGAGTGTTTTAATACTAATTTAATAGAACATATTTTTTCTTTTTTACTTATTTTATTACGATAAATACTTTTCAAATTATACTAAACGCGTTCCTATTAGACAAATTTCATCTACACGTGCCGAAGTAAACGAATGCTTAATATTAATATAACTAATGTAAACAATTAAAATATGTATGATTATAGATAAATTTAGATAAAACATCTATTCTCGAAAACAAACTTTATTCAGAAAAAATATTGTTACCGAATTCAGATCTAAGTAAAATGGAAGAAATAATAAAAGCTTTTGCCAAATACAAAGGAGCTAAGATAAATACAAACAGAATGGACAAGGAAATAGAAGATTTATTCCTTTTTGAAGATAAATTTAAAGATGTAATTATTTTTAAATAATTTTAACGTAATTATTTTATGTTTACGCTACACTCTGTCTATTAATACTATACATGTATAAAACCACAACTGATGAAATTAACAAATCGGAATAAATGTACGGAATAAATTAACTTTCACAGATCATCAGAAAGTCATATGAAGACGTTTTTAAAGGACTGGAGACAAATCATACCAAAATGACGATTTCAGAATTACAAGAGTATTACGATCTTGCAGAAACTGAAAACACAACTTCAAAGGTAAAGGAATTCTCCAATTTTGGCGACACCCTTTATAAACAAATAAGTACTCGTCGAATATACAGAACAAAACGGACTCTATCTCTTCATAAATATAGTAATAATATATATATATATATTATATATCAAAATTGTAGTAATAATATTAATGATACAAGAGAATTGTTGTTAACGGTTTTACAATTATATTACGATTACAAATATATTATGATTCAACAAAATTCTTTTCAGATAAATTGGCTACAAACGGTACAATCTATTTATAACAATGTTAACGTGAGTATTAACGCTTCCGAACCTATGATTGTATACAATAAAGAACTTCTGTACGAATTGGCATATTTGTTGGATGAAACATCGCCTCGTATACTTGGTAATATATGTGTATAAAAAAAACATTTGTTGAAATGACATTTTAATGCTCGAGTTTTCTTCCCAGTGAATTTCATACAATGGAATATTGTACGTCAACTTGTGCCGTTTCTGACCAAAGATATAAGAGATATTGATTTCAAATCGACCCATGAAGATTACAATGTGACCGAACAAGAACCTCGGTAAGTCACCGATACTTAATGAAATGTAACTTTAATATAATTCTCAGAGACGTCCAAACATATTCTCATTTATTTTATAGATGGAAAAGATGCATTGAGGAAATACCGTTACAAGACGCCTTGTCTTACCTCTATATTAAGAAGTACAATACGACACATAATATAAAAGCTGTATGATTCTAAAATCTTTTTCTTTCGTGAAAGTATTTATAAATAAGATACCGAAGTAAGTAACAAACGGGAAAATTTTGCATTAATATACTTTAGGCGACTGAAATGGTTGAGGAAATGAAAACGGAGCTGAAAAAGCATACATTACATTCAAAATGGATGGATAATAATACGAAGGAGTTTATAATATCCAAAATAGATAATTTAATACAACTAATTGGCTATCCCGAATGGTACAATAACCAGACTGCACTCATCAAACGTTACGAAGGAGTAGGAAATTCAACGCTCTTTATTATTAACGTTATATTAAAAAAATATGATGTTACATTAAAAACTAATATATGTGTTTTTAGTTGCAAATAGGGCAGAATTATTTTAAAAACATTTTAACAGTCGTGATATACGAAATAAGAAGATTTCTCAAGGAATTTCGAGAACCCGTGGACAAATACGAGTAAGTCTATTCGTATATTATGGTAAATGGACTTAACTGAATATAATGGATTACACTTTAATTGGACAGATTAAATATTACAACCTTTCAATGTTGTTAATGTAATAAATATTATTGCAGATGGTTAAGTTCCCCTCTAGTTAAGAATTCCTTTTATGACACATCGATTAACGCAATAAGTACTTTCTCTCTATTTTTAATATATATATATATATATAACATTAGTATAGTATTTTTAATGTAACGTTGAATTTTATCACTAACAAATTTATCTTAATTATTTTCAGATATACCACTTTCTGAGATTCAGGATCCGTATTTTACTCCCGGCATGCCACTGTGAGTGAATAAAATATAAAATATAAAAATATAAAATATAAAAGGACATTATTAGTACTTTAAATTAATGGACGAAAAGTTTCATCCGTAATTACCCTTTTTAGTGCATTTGATTACGGTAGTGTAGGTATGATTATCGGACACGAGCTTACGCATAGTTTTGATAACACTGGTTAGTTTCAATAAATGTTCATAGCCCGTTAGTCTATTTTTAGTTAATGCATTGTCATCTTATAAATTTTGTATGTAAAACGTATAGGAATACAACGTGATAAGTTCGGCAATAAATATTCACAACATTCTAAAAAAATGAATGAGGCTTACGAGGAAAAACTAGAGTGCTTTGTGGATCAATATAATAATTTCACGATGATAACAACAGACGGACATGAACAAGTACGTACTCGTAACAACGATTTATATTAAATTTATTTATTAGCAGGTCTAAAGAGAACAATATAAATCTATATACGATATTGTCGGCCTTGTTGTTTTGTCTAACTCGAAATTTTAGCGTTCTCTAAATTTAGAGAAGGAAAAATATAATAAACGTATTTTTCTGCTTATTTTTAGATAAATGGCCTACTTACAAGAAACGAAAATGTCGCTGATAATATTGGCCTCGAAATTGCCTTCACAACATTTAAAAAACTCTTGCTAACTGCGGGACCACAACCGAAATTGCCAGGATTAATGAATGTCACTGACGAACAATTGTTCTTCTTATCCTACGTAAATGTAAGTCGAATATCTTATAAATATATTAACATATAAGGAAAATTTGCTTGGGTGGGAATTCTTCAAATGTATCATTGTGAAATCAATTATTATAAACTTTTATTATATAAATTATGCATATAAATTGTGTTTTAAAGGCATGGTGTGAAACATCAAGAGACTTTTACGAGGGAGATCACATTAACAATGATGTTCACGCATCTTCAAGATTTCGTACGGTCGGCTCCGCGGCTAACATGGTATCTTTCTCTAAAGCGTTTAATTGCTCAGTGAACAGCCCAATGAATCGTAAATCCAAGTGCAACTTATGGAAATAAGCTGAGATATCTAGAGACTTTACAAATTAACCCAACTAAATATTAATTAATATATATAATAATTAATTCAAACTAAATATTAACGCGTTAACAATACAACAAACCCATAAGATTTTAAAGGAACTTCAAACTTTCTTATATTATTAACTCTGGATTGAGCAATCGGAACAATTTGGAAGAAATAATATATAAAGCGATTATTTTAGCACTATTTATTAGTGGAATTTTATAAATGAAATAAAAAGGCGTTTTTATAAAGAAATAAAAATAAAAAATTATACAAAATGTATAAAATCACGTATGTCTTGATTTATTGACAGCAAAAAACACATAATATGACATGCGCTTGTTATATAACTTTTACTCATATTACAGAATTGGTAGTATATTTTAAGAAAGTATACAGGATAGGTTTGGAATGTCCACTGTTAAAAATTAAGTATTCTTGGATTTAATAACAGGATCTGTCACACACTTATCTTCGACTACAGTCTCGAACTATTACTCTGACCTTACGGTATCAACTTATATTACTCAATCCGTATGCTCTTAATGCGCTTAAAGCAAACATGTCATAACAGCAACAATTAATAAGCAAATATCATTGGTTTTTACTCCACATGTTTCACAATTTCAATAATGCAACATGAGCCTATATTTGTCAGATTAATTTTGTTTTCTGTCAATGTTGGTGATATCTTATAATAATTGTATGAATCTCGTTAGCAGTTTATTTAGGAAAAACAATATTCTTTATATAAAATCTGTTTGAATACGTATACGAAAGAAGCGATAAATATATTACATTTCACACACATACACACGCACACACGGGTTTTTATACCCATATTATGCATAACCAGCACTTCTATTTTAACTTATCATTTGCCCGATTACATCGTTATTACACATTCACCACTCAACGTACACACTGAATAACGGACTATAACGTTTGAGCAGGAACGCAGAAAATCAGTGCAGTTATTCATAGTTTATTCGCTGATAGGCTCCCTTGAACTGAAAGAAAGGTCACACGTTCTTACTGATTTAAAAGTGATCCAGAGATCGATCGAAGAAATAGTATACATCTGACTACTGCACAGTATATTATTCCGACGGATTCTCTCGTGCAAACATGATAATTTTGCCGCTACTGTGAGTCGTACCTTTTATATTATATATATCGTATATTTATATTTCGTGTTTTTCTATTATTTTACTATGAAAGTCTAAAATTCATGAAGTAGTATAAAATAAATAAAGTTATATTATAATTTGCACTATGTAAGTTATATTCGAAGACTTCATTTGTGAAAACGTCAATGTTCATTATCGTGTGAGAGCAACTGTTGTTTCGCGGGAATCGATTTATTGATAATAAAGAGATATATATTTAATATTATTTATATGATATATATTTAAAACGATAATATCGATAATAAAGAGATATATATTTAGTATTATTTATATGATATATATTTAAAACACTTTCCTAAATTCATTTTATGTAGCTCATAATCAGTTGATGTTATGAATGAATAATTTTCTTTTTATAGCTTCTGTGTAGTAGTTGCCAGTGTAGCTGGACTTCCTAATCGCAGATCAACTGATTACACTATATGTGAGACTGATGCGTGTCGCGCAGTTGGTATGTTAATAAAATGTAAAACATTTATGTATTAATATAGTATCGGGTTTTTATAAAAGTAGAGTTTCTGTAAGTGCGAATGAAATTAATAAATAATATCATGTGTAACATATAAAGAATATATAAGCGAAATTACAGAAACTCTAAAACAACTGGTGAAGAATGTTACAAAAATTGTTAATACTAATAGTAATAAATACGTATATCTCTTGCGCGATTTGTTATATAATATATAATGTTTTCAAAAATGCTACAATTTATTTTTGGAATTAATTGATGATATATTATTTGTTGGCTATAGGAGAGTCAATTCTACATAGTATCGACAAAACTGTCGATCCATGTACTAACTTTTACGAATATGGATGTGGATTGTGGCCGATGAACAATCCTATTCCATCCAATGATGTAGTATGGTCCACGAACCACGTACTAGATTTGAAGACTGCTCTTCGCTTAAAAGGTACGAAATTTATACCTTAGCGTATGAATGTACATACAGGATCTTTTGGAAACGAAAAATTGTAAAAATTAATCAGATCAAATTGAAAAGAAAAGTCCTTTACCATTTTGCAAAATAAATAGGCAAATTTTGAAGTTATCAATTAAAAAAGCCTTTGAATGTAATCATTTTCAATTATTAATAACTTAATAACTATTGCGATTTTTGCAAAATATTACTTGACTTTTCTTGTCAGATTAATCTGATTAATCTTCACAATTTTTCACTTCCAAGAGATCCCTGATACCCTGTATATTACTTATTAAATACTTCTACTGAAGTATAAAGCATACGTGAATATATAATTAAATTAATATATTATAAATATATAATTAAACTAAATATAATAATTTAATACTATAAGTATAATAATTTAAAACTAAATGAATTAAAATAAATACTTAAATAAAATAAATAATTAAACTACTAAAATATAAAGATGCTTCGAAAATTTATCAACGTCTAAATTATTCGGAAATTTATCAACGTCTATTAATGTCTAAATTATTCCGGAAAATTTTTCCTTACATTATCACAGCGTCATATATACTAAAGACGGAAAAATTTTTCTCTTAATGCTTTTTAGTCATTTTATATATTAATAATGTTTTAATAAAGTTGCATGTATCTCTTGTAGAGGTTCTTGAAGAAGAGAGCGAATATGATAACGTAGATCCTATAAAAAAGGTGAAACAATATTACCGTTCATGTATGGACGAAGGTACGAATCTTACATTATTTTTTGTACATTGTTTGTGCTATTAAAAATATTCTAGTTATTTGCTGCAATTCAGTAGCGATACCATAACTGTTATACATTTTAATCAAATTCTGAGAATACATATCATTTGGCATTCTTTTTATTTCGACTCTATTGCAGATGCTATTGAAAAGGAAGGACTCGAACCTATACAGGCAATGTTGGATGCGAACGGTGGATGGCCGATTCAATGGGGAAATCAAGAATCAAACGGAAATCGAACTTGGCAGGAAATCGATATTATTTATATGAAAAAATTTTTCACTGGCAGTTTCCTCGAGTTTGCCTTTATACCTGAAGAGGAAGACGCAACTAAAAATATACTTGCAGTACTTATTCTATTTTCTGTCTAATTAGTTACAATATAAGAATATATAAAATATGTCTAATAACATATTATATGTATCATTATAGATATCTCAAGGAAAAGCTTCTTATATCGAGGATGAAATTGTCAAAAGAAGCGAACGCTTATTCCCAGCTTCAGATGTACATAAAGTAGTCGGTGTGTTGAAAGAATTTAAGAAGCACAAAGGAATTGAAACACCAAAGGAGAATTTTACTGCAGACGTAACGGAGCTACTTACTTTCCAGGAAAATCTCAACAACGTAATTATTTTCTAATAGTACATTAGATGTTAATAGATAAGATAGATAATTTGCAATTTACATACATTCCTTTAAATTTTAATAGATCAGCGAATACGAAGAACAGATTCAAATAGGTATGAAAAAAGTCCAGGATAGAATGACGATTGCAGAATTACAAGAATATTATGATCAGGCTGGAACAAAGAATCCCACCGCACAGGTAATGTTAATCATGAAATCGATATTGCAATAACACGTACATCATTAGTTTTATGATTATTTTGATGCATTACTTCAATCGAATATTTTTACAAGGAAAGTAATATTCATTATAATTTTAACCGTGAAATGTAAAACGAAGTATACTCGCGAAGATAATCATTGAAGGTATACATATTTATCCATAAATAAGTTTATGCATAACAGATAATGCTTTAAGATAACAAAGTCGTATCATTGATCGAAAGTACGTACTATTGATTATCCAGGAAGTTTCATCGATATTTTATAATTTTAATAATTACAATACGATTTCGCAATATTTCTTCAGATAAATTGGCTGCACTTGATACAAGAATTGCTCGAATCTACTGGCAAGACTATCGATTCTTCATATCCTGTGTTAGTGTACAATAAACATCTTCTTCACAAACTCGCCTACTTATTAGATGATACTCCAGAACACGTAATTGGTAATATTAAACGTACACGATATAATGACATAATACTAACTACATAAAAAGGACAAAAGATATAACCCACATAGCACATAATACGTATTACAGCAATATCACAATAGTATTACTTCTCTATTGCAATATTACAATGTAATATAGTAAAAATATTACCACATTATTACAGTGATATCACAGTAATATTAAAACGTCCGCCGAAATGCATCATAGTACAATTATGGTGATATACTACAGTAATATTGTGATAATATATCATAGTAATATTGTCACAGTGATATATCACAATAATATTATTATAATATTATAAAGTCATAGAATACTCTTACGGAAAAAAACATTCAAATTTGAATGTATATTTGAGAGTAAATTCGAATAATTGAATATAGACACTCAATATTTGAATGTTTCTTTCATAAGAGTTAATTTTATATTAGTTAATCTAATATTAGATTTGAAATGTTATGTTTGTTAATCATTTTTACCTCCTGAAGATATAAGCAATTCAGTGCTCTGTGATGTATTCATATCTTTTAGTTCGGATTTTTTTGCCTTTATTCTAAAATTTTACAACTATATCTCGAAAACCAAACATTTTAGAAAAAAATATTTTAGACAAAAGTTGTATAGTTTCAAGAGGGACATAAAATAACTGTATCATTTTGTTTACAGATGATGCCACTTTTGAGACATTCACTGATTATTATTTTTCTTAAATGGAAACCCCATTTTTTTATTATATCTTTTTTTCTATCAATTAATTCGGACTTTTATCTGAAATATTTTTTTATTTGCCTAATATTTTTTTGAAATATTTAAGGAAAACTTGGTAACTTTTCCAATATGTAACTTACGATATCTCACTAACTATTTGTTGAAAGAAAAAATAGTGTTACATATTTTTAGTCTATTTACTTTTTTTTGTCTAAAACGTTTCTTAATATCTTTCATATTTTTCGAAATTTTTGCCTGACTCATTTAAAATGGGATGCCCTGTATTATCTCCGAAATATTTTATTTATACTCCAATGCGATGTATAACGTTTAAGTTAAAGTAGCAAGTGACATTAAATGACGTTTCAATGACGTTTTTAATGTCCATAAGACATAACAAGAACGTCATTTGCTACTTGACATCATCTTGCTACTTAAGATGGGATATATTGCAATATAATATTACAATAATCTTTTAATGTTACATATAAACGTAACATATTATTTACTATTATTGTAATATTTCAACATCATATATAAACGTAATATATCAGTAATATTTCTGTAATATTGTATTATAATATGTAATATTAATGATATATTGCAATCTAATTATGATATTTCTGTAGTATTATGTGCTATGTGGGAAACATATTTTATAAATATACAAGGTAGTTGATTATAAGTTGCCAACCTGAAGTGTGAAGGTAGATTGGGTTAAGACAAACATAAAAGTCCCATACCCATACGTTTTGCGAGATTCACAATAATTATGGAACTATTAATGACAGAAATCTGAGGAATGGGAGCGCGCCGACATAGATGACTGCTGCTCAGGCCACAGCGCGGCCCAGTTGATCCAGAAACTGTTGCCGGTGCGCAACGAGGTGAAGGACCACGCGCCGCTATTGGTGTTTTATCTCGCCTCACCTACGTACAGTGTTGTGATACAGGAAATTGATGTTCAAAAAAATCTACAGCATTCAATTTTCAACCTATTGAGACGATTTCTTTTTTTAAATGAAGGTGAGAAGATTACCTACAATTCTACCGAGCGATATTTTCGATGTCAGGAATCTTTAATAACTAAACCCTTAATAGACAAAGTATGAAATATTGATACATTTTCAGAAGATGATTTTTTCTACTTCTATCAACGCGCAAACCATTATAATTGCCAAACTATGATATTGGTTTTCTTCCAATGTCTTCTTACATTTGCGATATATAAATCCGAAAAAATCAATAGCTTATGCTTTAAATCTTCATTCGTTGCTACTCGGGAAATTTTCCGCGTATTGAACTGTCTGAATCTTCGAATTTCCTTGCTTCTTGCTTCTGCAGCTTGCAGCTTGCTCTGCAGGTTTGGAGTTTACGAGTTGAGTAGTAAAACATTTACAATCCATGGATTCATAGTTTGGCAATTATAATGGTTTGCGCGTTGATAGAAGTAGAAAAAATCATCTTCTGAAAATGTATCAATATTTCATATTTTGTCTATTAAGGGTTTCGTTATTAAAGATTCCTGACATCGAAAATATCGCTCGGTAGAATTGTAGGTAATCTTCTCACCTTCATTTAAAAAAAAAAGTCGTCCCAATCGGTTGAAAATTGAATGCTGCAGACTTCTGAACATCAATTTCCTATATCACAACACTGTGCTACGTCTCGCCGCACACCGCCAACAGTTGCTGGGTCGACTGGGCCGCGCTGTAATCCAAGAGGCTGTGACGCTTTTCCAATTATCCATTTCAGCATGCGCTCATTCGTCAGATTTCTGTAATTAATAACTCAATAATTATTGAGAATATCGCAAAACGGTATGGAACTTTTATGTTTGTTTTAACCCAGTCTACCTTCACATTTCGGGTTGGCAACTTATAATCAACCATCCTGTATATGTAAGAAAAAAAAATGCATTAACATAAACTTTTATATTTGATTAATTTCCAGTCAGTTATATACAATGGCAATTAGTAAGTCAACTTTTACCATACTTGACCAAACAAATGAGAAACGTTAATTTTGAAGCAAACTACATAGGATATAATGTGACCGAGCAAAAACCGCGGTAAATATTCAACGCAACGTAATTTCTCATCTGCGTAGACATGTGAATATATTTCTTCTTATCTTACAGCTGGCAAATGTGCGTTTCAGATATATCGCTACAAGACGCTCTGTCTGTTCTATTTATCAAGAAATATCATTCACCAGATACCATAACGGCTGTAATATTATACAATTTTTTACTTCAAATTCGTGTAAAAAAAGCACAGTCCATAAGTATTTCTACAAAATTCATTATGTATTAATCTGTTTAAGGTGACAGATATGTTAAACGATCTAAAGGTAGAGATGAAGAAGCGTATATTGAATTCAAAATGGACAAATGATAAGGCGAAGAATTTTATGACAGAAAAAATAGACAATATAATATCATTGATTGGTTACCCCAGCTGGTACAGTAATGAGACAGCGATTATTGAACGTTACCTAGGGGTAGGAATTCACAGTTATAATATATAATGTTATAATATATAATACCAGTTAATATTGTTAATTATAATGTTATAATATGTTATAATATATTGTAATTATTGTAATTATAATGTTACAATATATAATAACAGTTATAATTTATAATGAATTTATTTATTTTGTTTGTTGTTTAAGTGCCGCTGAATGAAGATGATTCAAGTTTTCGATGTTTTAGTTGGAGATTGGGGAAAATTATCTCAAGAACAAGCTCGATAGCATAACATACGAAAATAAGAAGAAACTTCAGAATTATATGAAACCCATAGATAGATCCGAGTAAGAATAATTCAAACATTGTAACAGTTTTTTATCCCTCATCAATCAAGTTAAACTTCTGCTTCTCTCGTCATTCGATGTCGTTGATTATGTAACATAATTGCAGGTGGCATGTCTCTCCTGTAACTCTCAATGCATTTTATGCCGGACCGTTGAACTTAATGGGTATTCTTTCTTAATCATATATGCACTAATCGCGTTATTACAGCGATAATGTAATAATAATTAATTCATACAATAAATTTACTTTAATTATTTCCAGTTATACCAGCTGCTGAGGTCCAAGATCCATATTTTACTCCCGGTATGCCGCTGTAAGTGCATAGCATATAAAATGTTATTAATGTTTGAAGTTTAAAAACCGAGACTAAAATTCATACATGATATTTAGAGCGGTTAACTACGGCACGATAGGTATGGTTGTTGGACACGAACTCGCACATAGCTTCGATACTACTGGTGAGTTTCAGTAAGTCTTCGGTGTATCAGACTATTATCTCACATATCTAAATAAAATGTACAGGAATTGAGTATGACAAGGTTGGTAATAGGATTACAAGTGATACAGAAACTAGTGAGGCTTTTGATGAAAGGGTGAAGTGTTTCATAGATCAATATAATAATTTCACACTGGTTGAGGTAGGAGAAGATGGAGAACCTGTCCACGTACGTATTTCTACATATGTTACATAGTTACGCTGTTTTTAAATATGTCTAGTTATACACATTCTTTACGAAGCAACTACGACTGATAAAAGTAAAGAATAAGTACATGTTCATATCTAACATACATGTGTCTATTGTTGTCTATTTATTTTCCCAAATAAAATTTTGATATTTTTAATATAACGTATTTTGGTAACGAAGAAGAAAATCGTGTTGAATAAACATTTTCTACTCTCATTCTCAGTTAAATGGGCAACTTACGAAGGACGAAAATGTCGCTGACAATATTGGTGTAGAAGTCGCGTTCGCGGCATTCCAAAAACGTAAGCTAGCGACTGGACCGCAACCAAAACTGCCGGGGTTGACTGATATCAGCGACGAGCAATTGTTCTTTTTGTCCTTCGCAAACGTAAGCTCAATAATTCATAAATATATTGATATAAAAAGATATAAGAAATAAATGTTTGTTAAATTTATATATGACACGTTTACATTAGTATTAAATTGTATTACTTACGAGGAAAATTTAGAGCAAGCAGTATATATTTCGTTTTTTTTTATTTTATAACTTACTTGGATAAATTATATTTTATAGAGCTGGTGCATAGCAACAACGGAAGACTACGAGGCAGCTTCTGCTAATAAAGATGACCATAGTCCGAACAAATTTCGAATACTCGGTACTGTGGCTAATATGGAAACCTTCTCTAATGCTTTCAACTGTCCTGTTGACAGCCTACTTAATCAAAGCCCGAAATGCACTTTATGGAAATAGAGTGGAAAATGTTGAAGAGGTTTTTATTAAAATGAATTATATTGAACGAAACGTCCCTATTTGGACAAGATGTCGGCAACATAACTCCATAAAAATTATCTGTTAATGTTGTTAATCTGTTAATGTTGCTAAAATTAAAAATAAAATTCTGGAAACATAGTTAAAAATCTTACTTCTTTTATACATTTATCTAACATTTTAAAAATAATAAAATATAAGGCTATATTTTTAATTGTTTAATATGTAACTTTTTATTAACATTCGAAACATTATTGAAAAATAAACTCGCAATAAATCAATCAAAATTGATCGTTTTAATTTAATGCGACTGAAGGGGATACGACATTCAGAATGTCTATATATAGTATAAACACATATACATAGTAAAACATATCGTAACCGCAAAATTGATCAAAAATTAGAGACGTTCATATCGAATATCAAACTGTCACTTATTTTCCGCTAAAACCTGAAATTATTATCTTAATTTTACAATTTTGATAGAAAGTTCTCAATTTGCAAACTTGTGGAAAGACCAAATATGTCATAACATCAGCAATTAATGAAGCGATGATGAATACTTTTTTCTTCACTTGCATTATAGTTTAACATTATAGTTTAAACAGTGCAACTTGATGCTAAACTTATCAGCTTAAATTTTGTTTTCTTATTAGCGGCAATGATTCATGATATTCGTGTTAATATCCTACTTTGAAACAACAATATTGTAATATGGCATTCCATTTTATTGTTTTATCGCCAACAACTTAGTACTTCCTCCATTACATCGTTTTTATACCCTGACTCTTCATGGTATCTGTTGCATAACTTGCCATTACATATCGTTAGCAGACAATTGCCGCAAATCCACAAGGTTATTCATAGTTGTTCGCAACTGATTGAATCGCTCGAGTAAGTAGAGGTGGCATGTTCTATCTAAACGTCATCACTTAAAAGTGATATGAATTGCTGAAATAGTACACGTTCAACTTTAGTACAGTGCATTGTTCTGACAGAATCTTACAATTAGATATAGAAAGATGATGTCCCTCTTGTTGCTGTGAGTTGTGTATTCTGTGTACTCTTCTTGTGTACTGCTTTTACGTCTTTATTACGAGTTTTCCACATCCTCAGAATAAAAACTTAACTACTGCAATATGTTGTAGCGAAGTAAGCAAGTGACTAATAAATGACAAGCAAAATCGTAAATAAAGTGATACTTGTATACATCGATTAAATGATACTTCAAAATTTTATTTCTGCCAAATTTTATTTACGCTAAGTCCTTTATGTTTGTCGTTACTTTGAAAATAACAGTTACCTCGACGTGTCTCTTATCTATATTTTCAATTTCATATCTTACATATTCAAATACCAGACCAGACTGCACTTTGTGGATAATACATCACACGATGACATAAAAACAAATGTCCTTGAATTTTCCCCACGTCGGTTATACGGTGTTCGCGAATAAATTCATTTTATATTTACAGGTTCTATGTAATAGCTGTAAGAGCGGCTGGACTTCCTAATAGCAAATTAACTAATTATACCGCTTGTGAGACTGATGCATGCAGCACAATTGGTATGCTGATAAAATATAAAATGTTGCACGTACTAACATACCATCCATTTTTTTCACATGGTCGTTTTGTGAGTAAGAAAAACAGAAGTAAATAAAGATAGTTGGATGTAATATGTAAAACAGCGGAATTATGAAAACATTGAAATAAATGTTATGATATAATAAAAATGTTCTAACGAATACTCCAATAATCTCCTAAAGTTATAATTTCAATCATATTTCCAATTAATTGGTGATATTATATTAACTATTAAATGTAAGAGAATCGATTCTACATAATATCAACAAATCTTTCGATTCTTGTACGGATTTCTATGAATATGGATGCAGCTTGTGGTCAACAAAATATCATCTTTCATCTAATGAAAAAGTGGAGTCTACAATGAAACAAATGGATTTGAGAATGTCTCATCGCTTAAAAGGTGCAAGAATTATTTAATAAATAATAATAAGAATATATAAATTTTATATATAAATATATAAATTCTAGTGAATATGAGAATATATATAATTAAATGTTGCTGGGAATGAAAGAAACACCTTGAAAAAAGACTTGGCAATGCCTCATTTCGGAAAATATATTTTTATATCGACACATTTTAAATATATTAAATTTTTCCTTAACTGAATACTAACGTACTAAATGACAAATTCTAAAAATATCGATAACAGAATCGATCGTCAAAACATCATGTTAAATAAACTCTGACACGATGATATTATGCTTTTCTTATATTATACAGGGTGTTTGAAAGCTTATCATGCAGACGAAAGTTGGAGATAGATTGGGTGTAGCCGAGAAGAAAAGGCATGTACCATAATGTCAAATTGGCAATAGTTAGCGAGTTATTAATTAAAACATGTGAGCCAACGAGCGCGTAAAGAGCGGAGGGCGGCCGCAGTAAGCACGTAGACATTTGATACAGGCGGAGTCAGCGAGTGACGGTAGGCGAGCACGCGCAGCGAAGGGCAACGTAAGCGACAAGAGACGAGCGCGCCCGACGAGGAGCGAGCGAGCGCGAACGACGAGGAATGAGCGAGCGCAAGCGACAAGAGGCGAGCGAGCGCGAACGACGAGGAATGAGCGAGCTATAAGGAAAAAGCTATAAAGAAAAAGCTCGCTCGCTCCTCGTCGCGCTCGCTCGCCTCTTGTCACTTACAGTTGCCCCTCGCCGCGCGCGCTCGCCTATCGTTACTCGCTGACTCCGCCTGTATCAAATGGCTACGTGCTTACTGCGGCCGCCCTCCGCTCTTTACGCGCTCGTTGGCTCACATGTTTTAATTAATAACTCGGTAACTATTGCCAATTTGACATTATGGTACATGACTTTTCTTCTCGGCTACACCCAATCTATCTCCAACTTTCGTCCGCATGATAAGCTTTCAAATATCCTGTATATACAGGGTGTCCGGAATGTGATCATTAATATTTTGTGTACTGGTAGATTGGGTGTAGCCGAGAAGAAAAGTCATGTACCATAATGTCAAATTGGCAATAGTTATCGAGTTATTAATTGAAACGTGTAAGCCAATGAGCGCGTAGAGAGCGCTGGGCGGCCGCCTCTTGTCGCTTGCGCTCACTCGCTCGTCGTTCGCGCTCGCTCGCTCCTCGTCGCGAGCGCACGCCTCTTGTCGCTTACGGTTGCCTATCGCCGCGCTAGGTAAGCCATTTTCTTATTCACAGAGCCTGTCCTGTCGCTTTCTCGTGCGCTCATTCGTTTACACATTTTAAGTAATTACGGAATAAATAATGAAAAAATTGTAAAATGGCACAGGACTTTTTTAATTGTTTTAACGATTTCTACCAGTACACAAAATATTAATGATCACATTCCGGACACCCTATATACAGGGTGGGGGGAAGTATAAGTTTACAACCCTAAGTATGAAGGTAGATTGGGTTAAGACAAACATAAAGGTCCCATACCGTTTTACGAGATTCGCAATAATTATCGAGTTATTAATGACAGAAATCTGAGGAGTGGGAGCGCGCCGACATAGATGATTGGAGAAGCGTTGCAGCTGCTCAGACCACAGCGCGGCCTAGTCGATCCAGAAATTATTGTCGCTGCGCAGTGAGGGGAAGGATAACGCGCCGCTATTGTTTTACCTTGCCGCACCTACGTCTCGCTACACGCCGCCAACAGTTGCTGGGTCGACTGGGTCGCGCTGTAATCCGAGAGGCTTCTCCAACTATTCATCTCAGCGCGCGCTCATTCGTCACATTTTTATAATTAATAACTCGATAATTATTGCGAATCTCGCAAAACAGTATGGGACTTTTATATTTGTCTTAACCTAATCTACCTTCACACTTCGGGTTGGCAACTAATTACCGGATATCCCGTATAATAAATTTTATAATACTATTCCATGCAATATTTCTTCAGATAAACTGGCTGCGTATGATACAAGATTTGATGAAACCTTCCAACATAACCGTGGACAATTCGTTTCTTGTGGTAGTGTACAACAAAGAACTTCTTCATGAACTAGCTCATTTATTAAATGTTACTCCGTCATATGTAATTGGTGATATTAATCATTATGTAAACAATAAAATTGTAACACGTAAAAATATATAAAAAGAGCAAGAAATTTCAAAGATACCTTATAGATACACACACACACACACACACATACCTAAAACAGGCCACCTGGATTTTGAATAATTTTGAAAATATACAAGATAGAAAAACATGTTAAATTTTTACAAGTAATTATCGAGACATCATAAGCTAAATATTGGAAAAGGTACCAAATTTTTTTTAAATATTTTAAAAAATATTGGGCAAATAAAAAAATGTTTCAGGCAAAAGTTGTTCAAATTAATTGATAGCAAAAAATGATATAATAAAAAATAAAGATTTTTCTTTTAATAAATTCAAAATGATGACCTTTCTGTAACTTTGATGATGCTGTTCAGGGTCATATTAATAATTCTGTATGATACGTCATTTAAAACCCTATAAGTGTACCTTTTGTATTTAACATTCTTTTTATCTCGTATATTTTAAGAATTACTCATTCTATTTAAAGAAAAGTTATTTGATCTGTTTTAGGTGTTTACCCTGTATATATGTATATATGTATATATTCTTTTACATATATATATATATATATATATATTAGATGTACAAATAAGTTATAAAGCGTTTTTTGTGTGACGTGTACTGCTGGTTTACAAATCAGAAATTCTCCCGCGGTTTTGTCACGTGACTGTAACCGGTCTACACAGTGTAGAGTAATAAAAACGACGCAGAGCGACGTTGGCTCAGCATTCAAACGTTCTTAAACATTAATAGGTGAAAAATGGCAAGCGACAAAGCATTTATTCGTCACTGCATTCGTTACGAATTTCACTAAGGGGAAAGTGCTGCAAAATCATTTGCATCGACATATTCTGTTCTTGGGGAGAATACTGTATCAAAAAGCACGTGTGAATTTTGGTTCAGGCGGTTTAAAGCTGGTGATTTTGAAGTTAGCGATCCAGAACCTAGCGGCACCCTGCAGAAGGGGACATTGAACATGAGCAATTGCAAGCATTACTGGATAAAGACTCCGCGCAAAGGCAA